ATATGCAATTTTAACTGTTATTGTCATAGCAACTGATCATTTGTTTTAGAATTTTTATCTGAAAGCACAATGCATTGAGTCTCTTGAAAATCATCTTTTAGATCTTTTTACAGAATGAACTTATGCACTGCTACTGTAGCATTCTCAAGGAATATACTTATATACAAATGTATGCCTGAAGTCAGTTTCTTGCAGGAAACAGTACTCTGCTTCTAAAAGCTTTTGTGTCTAGTCTTCCATAGAAAATCACTGTTTAATCGTTTGGGAGCATAAGTCATTCAATGGATCATGTCTATACATTGTGTAATGACTGAAAAAGCACGTCACTGTCATATACTATATACTTTGGACTTTGTAAAAAAAAAAGGTCATGTTTGGAAAACTCTCTTGTTTCTCTGTTTCTCAAGTCCTCTGTGTTGTGCACGCACATAAGCAAGTGCACGCACAGGTATGTGTGATGAGACATTGTAAAAAAACTAATTACTTTAAAAATAAAAGGAGATGGAGATGAGTTTCACATTAATTTAAACATTTCATTTGGATTACTTCTGAGGAACTCAGAGTTTTTTGTTTTGCGGGGGTTTGTCTTTTTGAGACAGGGTTTCACTATGCAGTTTAGGCTGACCTTAAACTCGAACTGGCAGCGATCCTCCTGCCTCAGCCTCTCGAGTGCTGGGATTATAAGCGTGTGCCACCACACCCAGCTTGAAACTCAGAGTTTTAGTTTTCCTATTAATGTCATATTTCTGCGAATTAAATAAGGAAATGAGAACAGTGAAATATAAGAGCTAGAAATACACCTGAAACACTTGAGGGAAATAATTTGAGACAGAGGTATGTGCCATCAGTTCCAGTCTGCCATGGTTCCAGAGGATGGACGTTGTCTAGTGAGGAAAGAACCAAACTAGCCAAGGAGCCATTATTACAAAGTTCAGTCAAGGAAGAGGCAGTAAAGTAGTTGTCGTCATAAAAACAAATATGATTCATCCTGAAAGCAGCTAGCAAACAGGAAAGGCACAGCAAGAGACACACGAATGGTTGTAATTATCTGTCACTGCAGGTGTTTCTGCCACCTTAAAATCGTTAGGCCAGCACAATTCTGCCACCTGAGTTCACTTCAAAAGGGTTGTACAAAGTCAGCATGTAAAGTTTCTGGTTTCTAGAAAGGATTCTGGAGGCGTGTGTCTCCTTGGTATTTGCATTCACTGAGTGATTATTTGGAAAGACTATAGCAACTGCTAAGGACATACCTATGGGGTTCCTGCATGCGCACAGAAATAGGTGCTAAGGTTTCAAAGCTTTGCTATTAGGAAAGAGACTGAAACTTTCAAGGGGCACCTAATGCCCTGGTATTTGGAGAGCACATGCCTGAAAGGGACAATTTAGACATAAAGGAAGTTGGCAAAATGGGAACCCTGTGGCTACATTAGAAGATTCAAAATGGAGGAACTCAGCAGTACCTAGCCGCATTGTTCCAGCAACAGAATGTTAAATTAGTGATTACTGCTTTAGGAAAATATTTGCTGCATCTCTAATCTGGACGTGACAAACAACATACCAGAGCAGAACATTAGTCTCCAGGATTAAATGCCAAGCAGAATAACAAAAGAGCTGACCCAGCTCAGGGCTCTAGGATGAGGGTTTGCTTAGTTACCACATCAAAGACTTTAAGCCATAAGCAGAGAAAGGAATAAATTAGGACACTCCTTTGGAGAGGCTTTTTAGGGCCAACAACAAAAATGCGAATGGACTAACTAAGTCCCATTTGGCTGTTCCCCTAATTTTGTTCATTTAGTATTTCTCAGATTTGCTTATCACGTGGTCAACCAAAGGATCGTCAGTAAATGAAACAAATGACATACTCTGGGCTGTGTCAGCTCAGCGCCTAATAAAAATTGGACCTAGGTCAAGGATGATGGTAGTGGGGAATGTCGTGCTCACTAAATGCATTTTCCAATTAGCTGGGTGACTGCTTTGTGAATCACTGACTTAATGAACACACCAGCCAGGCGGTTGAGGATGTGATCAAGGTAGGCAGGGGACAGGCTTGTTTCAATAAAGCAAAAATAATAGATGATTTCCTAAGTCCACCAAGGTACAGAAAAACAACGCAAAATCAATGTTGACAAAATTAAGTGAGTTCTGCTAATGTTAAAAAAATGTGCTAAACCCTGTGATGGATGGCAGAATTCAGACCTGGCACACACACACAGATGAAACTCCACAGTAAATTACATTTGCACAATCCGAAGTCACAGGAGGCAAGGTTAGGAATGAATTCATTTGGAAAATTTCAACAAAAGCTTTTAGTCTCCCGAGAATGTATTTTTGGAGCTAATCACTACTAACCTCTGTCTTCTGCTGTTTTCAGGCCGTTAGGAAACAGGTGTTTTCTGCTTATCTTTTATTTTTATAGACTTTATTTTGTAGAGTAGTTTTGGGTTCACAGAAAAATTGTGTAGAAAATATAGAGTTCCCGTCACATACATGCACAGCTTCCCCTGCTAGCAAGACCCCACACCACTGTGGTACATTTGATACAACCAAGAGACTGTGTCAGCACATTACACTCCAAAGTGCACAGTTTGCACTAGGGTTCACCGTTGATGTAGCACACTCTGGGTTTGAACAAATGTTCAGTGACATGTATTGGACAGTACCATACAGAGTAGTTTCACTACCCTAAAAATTCCTTCTTGAGTTGTTTGTTGTGGTACTATGGATTGAACCCAGGGCCTTCACACTGAGCTATATGCTCAGCCATTTTTAGGGAAGCAGGGGACTTTTTTGAGACAGGGTCTCGCTATGTCATTCAGGCTGGCCGTGAACTCACTATGTAGCCCTGGCCGATCTTGAAATCTCAGCAATCTTTCTTCAACCTCCTAAGTGCTAGGATTACAGGCATGCTCCACCACGCCTGAGCTTTTTTTTTTTTCCCTAAAATTTGAGACAGGATATCACGAAGTTGCTAAATTACCCAGGGTGGGCTCCAATTTGAGATTCTCCTGCCTAAGTATCCACAGTGTTAGGATTACAGGTATATGCTCTGCTGGGGTTTTCTTTTTTAAATTAAAAAATATATTATGGAAAAAATTTAAACACAAAAGCCAAAAGATAGTATAATGAACTCTTCCCGTGTACCCGTCACCTAGCTTCAGATATTACCAGCCATGGCCAACCTTGATCAGACAGATTTCATAAAAGCTATGGGAACATAGTTATTGGCACACCGGCTATGACTTTTATAGAAAAAGGGGTTTCTTCTCAGTTATTTTTAAGTGAGAGATTGAATTATTCTGGGGTGATGATGTATTAATCACTAACTCTGCTAGGTGCTTTGCAAATAGTATCTACACCTTTGTCACTCCAAGTGCGGTCCACAGTCCAGCAGTATGAGTATCACTTGGGAGCTTGCTAGCAATGGGGAACCTCAGACTCCACCCCAGGCCTACTAAATAAAGGTCAGCATCTTCACAAGATCCCCAGGAGATTGAAATACATATTAAGAGTTGAGAAGCAGGGTCTGCTAGTCACAGGGCAGACAACGAGTACCCTTTTAACAATTTTACAATGACACTACAGACAGATACAGTATATCATGTTCAAGTTACAGATGCAATGATTAAAACTGAGAGACGTTATTTGGCTTTTCTGAGATGTCATAGCAAACAAATTTAGGTCCATCTGGCTTCAGAGTGAGTGGTTCATAGCGTGTTTCCTCCTAGTTAAAGAGTTCACTTCCACAGCAACTCAACAGAAAGAGAAAACAAGACAGTATGTGTATACACAACACAAACACTGTCATCTCAGCCACAGCAACAGAAAACCAACTGCTATCGTGCTGATAATCACCCGCTCCACCAAAAGGCCTTTTGACTTTCAACCAGTCATTATGGTATCATGTAGACCGTAAATATTTCAGAGCAGTTAGAACAAAAAAAGCTGGAACAATTACTAAATTACTGCCTCTTGACAAGTGACTGTCCACCCAAATTGCAAACCACGAGCTCTCCGAGGACAAAGAGATTTGGTGTAGAGCTAAACAACTGGGAAATATATTTTTAAAAATCTGTTTCTCTGTCTTTGTCTCCTTCTTCACTCCCTCTTCCCTCTCACAGGCTCTCTCCTGGTTTCTACCATGGCATGATGCAGTAAAAAGCACCTCAGCAAATGCAGGCTCTCCACCTTGAACTTCCCATCTGCTAGAACAGAAAGAA